ATCTCACAAGTCCTTGCATGATAAATGTCATTCAAGAGAGGATGAAAACCTCCCACCCCTAAGTACTGAAAAAGGATTTAAGAGATTGTCTCAAACCTTGGATTCATTTTCTACATTGCTGAATTCTCCATGCAGCTCCAGGTTTAGTTCAGAGAAGCGTTGTGTAAAATTAGCTGCCTTGTTATCTAGAAAAAACCCCAGCACAGATATTTATGAAGAGATGTCCAATTTCTGGATGCAGCAAAAAGGAGTTTAGCTACAATATGTCACTTTTTGTATGTGAAATACTCTTTCACTGAAAGGAATAATTCCTCCATACAAGATAACATGGTCATGTTCAATAGATCTATTATTTTTTGGTTATTTTTATTATATTTATTTTTGTGACAAAGGAAAGGCTTCTATTTGTATCAATATTGCAAAATAAAGATACCCATGGTACAAGGATAGATTCTCCCCAAGACATTCAAATTAATTTTTCATCTGGATATCAGCGTAGAAATTACCTGAATTTAAGAAGAATCTGCATTCTTACTACTGAAGTTCACTTTTTTTTTCTCCTGAATCCACAATAAATCTATTTTTTTAAAATATAAACCCAGAAATCATCTGTATGCTCATAGCCCATGTATCAGACACACATGCACACACAGTTACTCTTGCCAGCCTGTTAGCAGGCAACTGCTTTTATGTAGTGCACATTCACAAATCACAAAGTGCCTTTTACAGGACAGTTGTCATCATCCCAATACTATTACTGGGGAAATGGAGAAGTGAGACATAACTATAAGCAGATTTTCAGTTTCCCAACCTGCTCTATATGTGCTGGGCTGCTCTGTGTGGCCTCAGATATTCCAGCACATCCCTGTATTTCAGGGATTCAGCCAGGAAGTAATGCAGGCTAGGAATTATTACACCAGATTTATGCCACTCTAGCTCCCATTTCAACGACACATATGACTTTAACTTCAGTTGCCCAGACTGATCTACTGCTTCCTGCATTTTAGCAAACCTACTCCTAGACTATGAATTTCTCACCTCTTCCCTTTTTGTAGCAGTCTATTGTCTCCAGGAGATCGGGTGAAACGGTCATACAGACATCCTCCAGTATCTTTACATTGTCTTTAGTTAAAAGGCCCTGCTTTTCCAATGAAGTCAGCAAATCCAAAGCAGACTGACAGCCAAAAGGAGAGAGTAAAATATAATTATTGTTCCTTAGAAATCAAAACTTGCCTCTTAGCCCTGTCTCAAACAATCACATTATTATCTGTTTTGCTCCTTACCAAAAAGGACCAGTCAATTTTACATCACCATTAAAGCAGAAATGTTGCTTCATGGAAAGCCACTGGTTGTGTTTTTATTTGGTATGGTCTTGTTTAACAGATTCACCCAAACCACATTAATGAGTCGTGGCTTCAAGAAGGCTTCATTGCTGTGAAACAGTGCCAATGACATGAATCTCCCTTGCATATGGCTCAAGCAGGGCAAAGATTTGATTTGTCACCTTTTTATACTCTAATGCTAGACAGTGAACTGTCAGTGACTGACCTTGGTATGAGGGACCAAATTCTACTTTTGTCTGTCAACATCTTCCTTCTTGCTATCCCTATGAATACAACCAGCCTATTTGCATATTATGCTCTATTCTGCCAAACACTTCTCACAATTTTCCTTCTATTTCCCGCCTTCCTTCTTCCCTTCCCACCATGTACACATTTGGCTCACTCTTCACATACAAGAATTGTCCATCGCTTTGGAAGATGGCTTTGCAGGAGGAATATGATTTCCTTCAACATCTCACTGGTGATGTTCTCTGACAATTCATACAGCATCTGCCTGTAACAGAGATGCAGTGAGATAAAAGTGGAACAGAAGATGGTATAAAAACAAAAGGCAATTAGGAATTTAAAAATGGAAAGGAAAACAGTATGGCATAGATAGCAGTAATGAAGGGAACAGAATTCCACTGCAAGCTTACCTGTATGGAGATATTCTTCCCTTCTCACTCAGACGTTCTTGTACTTTCTCCTTAGTGTAACCAAGTTTCTCGAGCAAGGAGTGACATCTAATTCTGTATAAGAGTTCAGCTAGCAGGAAAGTGTCTTCTGCATTCAGATAGTCTTGAGCCATAAGGAGCTTGAAGATGTCTGCTGCTGACTTCACGTCTTCTAGTTTACTGAGGCAGAGCAAGTCAGTACAGAGAAATTTCAAAGCTGCCACATCTTCAGTCACCAGATTTTCACTAATAAGGAAAAGCTGCTGATGGAACTTCAAGCTGATATCATTCTCCATGTTGCTGGAACCAACAGCTGAAACAGCTTCTTTCTGTCTGAAAGCAGAAAGCAAACACTAGTTTGTGTATAACACTTCAATCTTCCATACAGCAACCCTTCTACTAAAATTTTACCCAATGGTTGTTTGGAAGCCCTGAATTACCTTTTAATAAATAAAGGTTTTAAATAAATTTGAAATTTACTTCCTTGTCTAAACACAGACCACAAAAAGACCAGATTTGGCAGAAGCTCTGAACAACCCAGTCTATAATTGAAGTTAGCCCTGCTCTGAGCAAAAAACTGTGTTAGATGACCTCAAGGTCTGAATTTTCTTTTCTTTTGAACATCTTCCACATTCAGATCTTTGCTTCTTTCTGTTGTAATGGGGAAGAGTCTCTGCAGTAACTTATTACAACTATTAATGGAGATAGCACAGTGGTTCGTGAATATTCCTTGATCTGCAGTCCAAGAGCTTCTTGTTCTCTGGCTGTAGCAGGAAGGTGTTCCTCTGGTACAAGGCTGACACCCAAGCTGAAGCTGTGGAATCCACAGCCACTCCCAGCTGTAATTTGCTTCCGGTTGTATTTAACATTTGGCATAGAAAAACCCTTATAAGCTTTCCTTAGAAGTAACTGGCAGTTAAAATGTAATAGCACTCAATGCTCAGTCTAAATAGGCTCTGCACGACCAACTCAGGTTTAATAGAGACAAATCTTACTCAGGTTTAATAGAGACTAATCAACCTTGCACTACACCAACTTCTTCCATGTAGCCTAGGCAGTTCTGTTCTGCCCGTGGAAGGTTCAATAGGTAAGAAGGTGCTTCAGTGCCACTGGCTGGTAGCTCTTCAATCTTTTGCTTAGAGCAGTTGGAAGCAAAGGTTTCTGCATGAGGGAGCACAATCAGTGCAGGATCTGCTCGCTGCCCAGGCTTGGCCAGCACAGCCACCGCTGCATCGGGGCATCGACACGGAAAAGTAACCAATCCGCATCTCTGATGTATGCTTTCAGATATCGCCTCAGAGAAGGAAAATCGTACTAAATAAGCAGGATAAGGATTGCAAATTTACCTTTTCTTTAAAGTTTTTCAACAGACTGGAGCACTGCCCCAAGGGTTTAAATATAACGCGAAGCCAGAGCGCCCGCAAATGCCGAGAGCTCAGCCCGCAGGCCACGTGGGGAGGAATATCCCGGAGGCCGCGCGCAGCCGGGAGCCAGCACACAAAAAGAGAGCGGGAGTTTGTTAGGCTCGGGAGATGGAGCCTTCCTTCGTTCCCTCTCCATTTCAGCCCCACGTTTTGGTACCTCTTACACGAATTCCCGTCCCGATCCCTCTCCCGGCAGCTACCCGGGGCGGCGGCTCGCGGTCCCCTTCGCGGTCCCTTTCCCGGTCCCTTTTGCAGGTTGCCGCGGGCGGGGCAGGCGCGTCCAGTTCCCGCCCGAGGCAGGAGGCAGCGTCAGCAGCAGGGCGGAATGCGAGATCAGGTGGGTGCGAGGGAAGGAGCGGGGCCACGGTCGGGGAGCGGGGCGCGGCTGCCAGCGCCCGCCAGGGCTTTCACCACGAGCGGTGGCACCGCCCCGCCCCGCCGGGCAAGCCCCGGCCGCAGCCCGCCCGCCACGGCCTCGGGCCCGTGAGCCCGGGGAACGCTGCCAGGGACCGGGAAAGGCTTCAGGCAGCGCCTCGGGTACGAAGTCTAAGTCGTGAGCCGTAATTCGCCTCGCTTTTGCTGCCAAGCCATTTTAAAGCAGGCTACATCGCAAAAAGGCCTCAAACATTTTAGGCACTTTATTCTAACAAATAACAAATAACAAAATTTCCCCGCTGGAAGGAAGCTTGAAGAGCAGTGCTTGTGGGAGAGGGCTGCAGTACCATTTGTATGTGGGCCTGTGTGTCCGCTGCAGTAAAGGCAGGAGGAGGAAGGTGGGCAGACTCTGCTCAGTGCAGGCTCCTCGGGGCCTTCAGCATCTCCGGGGTCACCTGTATCCCCCCACAACCTCGGGTCAGTGGAGACACGATAGAAGTGTCTCCTTGCTCATGCCAAAATTTGTTGTCCAACACACCAAGAGCAGCTGAGTTACCTGCTGAAACTATAAGGCTTGCTGTCCTTTATTATCTCAGCTCATTTTTATAGAGCTGTAAACTATCACAGCCTAATTTAACAAGTTATAGAGGTCTGCAAGATAAACAGATCAAGAATTTCAGTGTTATTCTATGGTCTAGAGTGAGACAGGGACAAGCAGTCTGACTGCATACAGAAATTTTATTCAGAGTATCAGCATGAAACCCAGCATTTGTATCCAATTATAGTGTCTTATTATTATTTCTAATAAAGAAGCTGAAAAATATACATTATTTAAACCAGCCACAGAAAAGCTGTCAAATAATTCAGTACAGGAGATTTAATTTAAATTGAATATACATCATCCACACAGACAGCGGCCTCTTCTCAGCAACACTGTTCTGCATGTCAGAAACTTAAAACTCTGGAAAGCAGGAAAGAATTCTCAGAAACTCCCATAAAAAGCTTCTCTGATTCAGGTACCTGTAATAGGAGCCAGTGTTACTTCTTATGCAGAGTTTAAAGGGGAGATCAGCCATACAACATACTCCATCTACAAGTTCTAGCACAGTAACATCCTCTTGAACATAACTTCTATTTTGCATAATGAGTTGGCAACCACTGTAGTACACAAATATGTAACAGTGCAAAGTAAACTCAATTTATGGCTCAGCCACATCAGTGTAGGTGGCTGAGAAAAAAACATGCAACTCAAGTCAGGTACAAAACACCACTGAATGTCTTGCCTCATGAGAACACCTTCCAAGCCACTTAAAGGCATCACTGTCCATATATAGAGCATATACAGAACTACAAGAAATTTTTTTTCCTGTTATCAGAAATCAAAACCATAATTAAGTGCCAGAGCAGTGACTCTGACAGCCTTATTCCAGCCTCTGACAATGCAGGAGCAGTGTAACTTGTTTTATCTCCTTCAATAATAGGTTCTGAAGACTAGACATTTTGTCAGTCCAAGACCATGAAATTTCACCAGCACGTCACTATCTATGCTCCTGTGCTAACACCCTAAACTCATGATGGATCCAAAATTCTCTTCCCCCTTTTCTTTTGGCTAAAGGATCATTTAACCTGAAATAATTTCACTAGCTGTAATACAGGGACAACTTGATGCAGTCCACACCCTGCATCCATTTCTAGACTCAAATTTTATGTGTGCACTATGGCAAGAAGAGACAGTCCCCATCATGTGTACAGAGGGACACAGAAACCTGGTAAGGGTTTTGGAGAGAAGGCCCTCTGAGGAGGGGTTGAGGTCACTTGGTTTGTTCAGCCTGGAGGAGACTGTGGGGAGACCTCATTGCAGTCTTCACCATCCTCATGAGGGGAAGCAGAGGGGCAGAGGTATCAACTGCTTGTCTGTGGTGACCACTGACAGGACTTGAGAAATGAAACTGTGGCAGGGGAGCGTTAGGGTAGATTTTAGGAAGAGGTTCTTCATCCAGAGGGTGGCTGGGCACTGGAACAGGCTCCCCAGGGAAGTCGTCACAGCACCAACCCTGACAGAGCTCAAGAAGCTTTTGGACAACACTCTTAGGTGCATGGTGGGATTCTTGGGGTGTCCTAAGCAGAGCCAGGAGTTGGTCTCAGTGACCCTGATGGGTCCCTTCTAACACAGCATATTCTAGGAGTCTATTCTATAAGCTATGGGAGAAGCAACGGACAACTGCCATCACAGAAGTCCTGCACAAATACTCACTATGCAACAGGTACAGGGAATCAGCCTGCCTGAATGCTACATCTGAAAGAGGTGTCAAGGCAATAAATACTGCTTAGATGTACAATTACAGATTGCGTATGGCTATGGCTTAAGAATCTACTGAGGATCAGTGTAAAAAATCAGTATCTGACATCCATGAATGCTGCACAATATTTGTCTGTCCCCACAACTCTAGAGGGTTATAACTACTTCCAACCAAGCAACCTGTGGATATTCTCAGTTCAGTTGAAGAAAGAACAGAGACAACTTCTCCCAGGCTGAGCCTGGGAATCTTAGATGAAAGAATTCAAACAATTATTATCTCTCTTTCTGTTTATAGTTATGGTTCTTCACAGCATGTTATTCATAGTGCATAGTGTGAGATGTTCCTACTTTGAGACCAATCCGGTCCCACTTAGCAAGTGAGACTATAAAGTTCGTTACTTCTTGCTAATAAAGATTATTCTTGAGCCTTCTGAGCCACCTGAAAATGGGGATCTTCCTTTCCGTCCCTAACTCAACAGCGTCAGCAGCCACACACAAAGAGTCCCTTCCTTTTCCACTGAAAGGGTTGATTACATGAGCCTCTACTTTTCAAAACAGCATTTCTGCATAGTATCTTCATGAAAGCCACATGGACTTTACTTACCGTCTTGCAGTAAGGCAAAGAACATATATACTTCTTAACCCCCAAACCAAACTTGTCACAATACTGTAAAAGCAGAATATATTCCACTGCTAATATTTTAAGTAAATAATTGCATTTAGCATCACTCTAAAACCCCCAACCAACCAGCCCACAAAACATCAACCAACTCACCACATCATTAGTCTGTAAAGACAGCCACTATTATTCTTACTTCCTTTTTCCTGTTTTCTTCTCCTTCCAATATTAATATTGTATTTCTCCTCCGAATCGTCTTTCCCCTACTTGTTCTTCTCTTGATGCTCCCTACCATTTCCCTTCTTGTTCCTGCTTAAAAATTCCACATTTCCTCATCTGCCTCCTCTTGGTTCCACTCTCCCTGGCTTTTGGTTGTCTATAGGGTAGCAGAAGTGCTTTTCAAATGCAAAAGCTAGTAAAGGAAATTGGAAAGTGAAGTTAATCTGTGAAGAAGATCACATATATTAATATTACTTCACATATATTAATATTACTTAGATATATGTAATTTGGCATGACACCTTATTTCTACAACCACAGGAAACGTCTGTTTCACCATTTAGTTTATTTACCAGCCACCACAAGAAGTAACTTCTAAAATTCCATATCTGTCATTTTGTATCCTTCTCTTTTTCCATTAAAAAATTAAACAGAAACCAAGCAGAACACACCAGGACCTTGAATTATTTTCCTGCATAGGAGACTATATAAGGAGTAAAAATTAAATGTTTAAAGTGGCCTACTTTATTGTCACTAAGTTCAGTGACAATAAACTTCAATACAACCCATCCAGGTTACACTGTTATACAAGTAAGCTAGCTGAAGTTTAAGGCAGTTAACTTTTAGTTAGGCAACTGCTACACCGGAGAAAAATTTTTGTATTTAAGACAATTTTTCTTTTTTTTTTTTTTTTTCCACAAGAACAAGAGCTCTTGGGAAAAAATGAATTAATAGAGGCATATTCTTTTTCATAAGCAAAAGCAGTAAGGGTAGGTGTTTAACATAACCCAGTCTTAAAGGTCCATGGCTGCTACATACTACATTTAAATTGAAATATTTTGAAGTTATCTTTTTACAACTACGCCTGGTACAATGAGTGTGAATCATGTTTCAGCTTCCACAAGACATCTGCCAAAATCCCATATTTTTTAAACTGTGCGGCAGATTACTGTAATATAGAGGCATGCAAGCCACAACTTGTTAGCAGAGAACTGGCATTACTGGGTAGGAATGCTGAGACATTTGCCACTACTAGGTGCAGGAGAAAGTAATCAATGTGTTTCAGTGGTTTGGGCTGGCTTATATTTGTTTAAGTATTAGCTGCTAGGAGGTTATGTTGAAAACAACCAATGAAGCAATAAAAACACTTCTGCTTTTTCTTGGAAAACCCAACAGCTATACAGTTTAAATCTCTTTACACTCTGTTTACCTCAGGTATTCAGTAACAAGATATGCTACACTGCTATACAATAGCTACCATTCTCATCCAAGCTTTCAGAGACTACGATATTAAAATACAAGATCTAGTGTCTTAGCACATTAAAATGCTTGTAAATTCCTGTGTTTGGAAGCAACAGGCACTTTAGATACACATGAAATAACAATGCATAAATAAAAGTATGCATTAATCTTCATGATAGCAAATGCTTCTTGTTAATAATTTTAGATATGTACTTTCTAACAGCAGTCAAGTGGGAAAAAAAGTTTCTTCCTCAGTGTATGCTGGAGCAGCAGTGAGTATTGTTGGCTTGGGTCAATGGTCATATTCCCATCATAAACTTTTTTGTTCAGTTCCATATGGATAGCCAATATACAGAGTTTCCTGCAGCAAAAAAAAATCAAAAGCATTCCATTAGAGAATGAAGCATGACACCATTTAAGAATTCACAAGAGAGAAGATAACATCAGACTTGGCATGGAGAAACTTTGCAATTTCAGTCTCTACTGCAGAGGCAAGACCTCTAACACACAAGGCTGCACATGCATTTTGAGCCAAACTCTTATGACCCAAATCATTGCTGTGATATTAATTATTCTAACATGATGATCTGTGATTTCATGACAAGGCTTTAGGGTTTGTAAAAAGGTACTAAATGTCAGCACTGCAACTACCTTGAATAACAGTTGTTAGTTCCCTGGTAGATCAGCTGTATAAATAAAACCTCTGTAGGCAAGTTACATATCCAAATGTATCTGACTTTTGTGCAGGTTCCTTTTGATCTCTTTAAATAGACAAAAGTTTTCTGACAGTTTAAGTTCAAAATTACATATTGGCAATCAACTGGCTCTGTGAGCAAAGGGTTAATTAAATTTAGAGAAACTAGAAAATTCTTCCCTCTCTACTGCCTTTGTCCTGAACTTAAGCACTGACCATTTATATTTGCAAGCACAGCTCTTCTTCATGGTACATGGCAATCCTCAGTTTAGCAGAAGCCTGTTTATCTTGGAGAAGGAAGATTTCCAATCCTGTCTAAAGCACTGAGGTACATTATCCAGGACAGGTTCTTCCCTTCTCACTCTGCAAACCCCAGTGCCATAACTGTAACTTTAACTTTACACTGTAACATCAGAAACTTCACTCCTAATTTAGGCTACCTTTCTGCGCAACTGTGTGAGGACATTTGTCTTTTTGACTATGACACTGCAAGAAAACCAGATGGCTTGAAAGTTAAGGTTTCTCATTCTCCATGAAAATAAGCTATCATCGAAAAAGGGTTATTTCTTTCCTCTTAGCTTAATTTACCTTTTATAAGGATTACGGAGTAGCTCAGCCAGACAACGCAGATAATATGAGGGTGAAGTTGGGGATTGTTCCAGTGTAGACACATCCACCTTGCAATGACTCCAAAAGATGTCTGCTGTATGGGGAATAGTGACTTTAGCTCTGATATTCTCAGCATTCCCATCGACTTCCAACAGACTGGTACATTCTTGCTCATTTTCTGGCACAACGTAGCTCTGAATAAAAAAAAGCTTCGGTTTTCCTAGGAGTCCAGGACATGAGTCTGCTGTAAAGTATTTCTTTATTTGTTCCAAAGGGAATCCAGAAAAGGTGTGGTCTGTACAGAAGATGCTCTGGGAGTTTCCACGGCTGACCAATATGCAAACGAAGCTGTCACAATTTTTGTGTTTCTGCCACCTTGCAACTTCAAGCAATGTTTGATTCATGGAATTCATATTTAAATATCTGTGACAATGAACATCATAGCCTAAGCCTCTGAAGGTCTCTTCCAACACATCTGAAAGAAGCAAGATGTAATTAAACCAAGGCACACCAAGGCTCAAGCTCAACTATATTGAATTGCAATATTTATAGTGTTTTTCTATTGAAACTAAGTAATTTATTTTATTACAATAATTTAAAAAATCAGGAGTACTTGGTGTTGATCACAGTACATTACATACTTAATAGAGCTATATGCATGTTGTCTTTCCTGTGAGCTACATGTTTTATGACAGCAGAGACACTGTGTATCTGTTTTGTATTTTTACAGACACATGCTTTCCTTTAGAGCCAGTATTCCAAGCTCCTAAGACTTAAAATATAAGGCAAGAAAAAACACACTTGAAATGATGAAGAGTGATGTAAATGCCTTACACACACATAGGAAACTTAAAGACAGCTGTCTATGACTTCAAAAGTTTAACAAGCCTTAATTAGCAGGGGCTGTTTCAGAGGTAATGGCAGTAAAGCAGCTGTACTACAACACTTTTCTCCCCAAAAAGCCCATAGTGAACACAAGAAACCGAACTCAAAACTTTCCTCAGCAAAATAAACTGTATATACAAACTCCACACTATAGTGAGGTGATAAAAAATAACTACAGTTTCATTCCAGTTCTGTTGGTTTGATTAAATTTTGTAAAATAATTAAAAAACTGTCCAGACATTTTTAATTTGAGAATAGAAAGATACAGCTCCCTTATTTTATGCTCTCAAAACATGCTCTCAAAATTCAGACTACTCAGTATCACTAAAGTCTAGCAGTTACACCTCAATGAAGCCCTCCATCAGTCAGGGGGTAGCAGCAGTACAAAATGAGAATTACAGCAGTGAGAATGCTTCTCCTGTAATGTCCTGATCTCACTGGTACACGCACATACATGCACAAATACAAAACCTGGTGTCACCTTAGTCCCCACACACACTAACTGTCACATTTTAGAAGAACCAACTCAAAAACTTAGAGCTGACACCTTAGTTAACAATTAATCAGAAATTATACATGGCCTTGGATAAGCCTTGGATACTTAAAGGCAAGATACACCACAGCATTACATGCTGCAGCCTGAGATCAGAAACTACCTATTTCTTCAACACTAGCCATCTGCCAACAAACCTCCACTGATTTTTCAGCATCTCCATTCTACATAAAACACTAGCCTTTTCTCCCCTCATCGTTTACAATGTAAGGATTAAAACTGATTTCCAAATGGAAAAGTCAAAAGCAGCTATTTACAAAACAGCAAGGTACATTTCAGTTTGAATTCTATAATCATTTGATAAATTCATGCTGTTTACACTGGGCATTATAAAGTGTTGTAATTCGTGATCCTACAGTATCTATTACTGGTTCCCCTTCCTGAGATTAAATCTTGGGACAGCTACAGATTCTAATGGATGCCACAGATACAATTTCTAATGTTTTTCCTGCCCTCTTCTTTTTCTTCTTTTTCTTCAGTGTACTCAGACTTCAGAATAGTGTGGCATAACTACTTCTGCCTTTCTTGCAAACTCCTTTAAGCAATGCCCTGTCTCCTCTGATCTCACTAGCACCATAATGTACTTCAGTGCAAGTCTTGCCTTCTATCATGTTAAATGCTGACAATGTGACTTTAAACATCAGAGATACAGACTTCCTGTGTGTGAGCTCCACAACCACTGCCCTTCAATTACATCAGCAATTCTAAGTTAGTTCATCTGCTGGACCACTGCATTTGAGAAAACCAAAAGACATGCCTGGAAAGCCTCTCCTTCCCCTACATCTCCCAGCTATTACAGAACTGGCTGCAAATACTTTCTTCATTTTTATTTTTAGCCTCACGTGTTACAGCGATTAGAGAGTGAGGAGTGTTTTTGATTGTGCAAAGATCTAATTCTAGGATTCTACAAAGGCAATCAGGAAACTCCCACATTTCAAGTCATGTCAGTGACTACACTGACAGCAGTGGTGACACTTTCAGTTTCACTGTGGTGACACTTTCAGCTAAACTGTGCAAGATAGAACAGAAGCCCAGGTGCATCATTAATAAAGGACCTCATGGCTATTCGAAATCTCTGGTGTCCAATATGATTGTACTTCAAATCCATAACAGTTTTGGTTTTGTTAACTGGTGGGAAACACTACCATCTCTGCCAATAACCTGCTGTATGACTGTATGACTGCTGTAAGCCTAATTTTTCTGTTGGTTACTGAACATCCTTTTTGTCCATCCCAAAATTCAGTCTATCCTCTTCCAAGTTCTTTCACTCAGAGATTCTGCACCAAAAAAACCAAACGTTGTCTCCAATAATTAGGACAGTTGGCTTTAACCTGATGTTGTCCCTTCCAAGTCTTACTAGAATTGGTAGATTAAATGACTGGGACAACACTATCCTAATCTGACTGGTAAATGTACATTATATTCCTTATACTAAATTCTTCTAATTATCTGAGATTAACAAGGGACTGAAAATTCCAGAGACTTACCAGTGTCATTGCCAATACAATCTATTATCAGGCATATTCCTAAAGGTTGACTTTGCATTCTGTAGGAATCATCAGACATCTGAGAAATGTGAAAGGACAATTACAAAGTCAATACATCACTTTCTCAACTTTTAGACCATATTAGTTTCTCAAATTTTGTGGTATAGATACATTAAATAACATTCTGTTGTTTTCCACCAAGCAGCTAGCAGAAATCTGTCTACTGGTTTGTAATGTGTCTTATCTACACAACAAAAAATCAGGAGAAAGGGACTAGTGATTCTTTTCCCTCCATTTCTAGTATAGGCTTAGTTTTTCTGTCCTTGTGTTATCCAATCTCATTACCATAAAGATTCTTAAACAGAAACTAAAACTGTATAAGCTTCATACTGCCAACACAATAAATGTAGAGAACTTTTGTGTTCCTCAGGTGTGCAAGCAAACACTGCTCATCAAAAAATTTATTTCCTTATTTAGTGGAACAACCTCCTTATTCCTAAATAATCCATAATGACTTTATCGCAATTCCTCTCCCCTCTGAAGAAAATTGATTAAAGCAAATCAATTTGCTACAGGTTGGTTCCTGGACTACAGGAGAACTAGTGAAAAGAGCAGTCAGCCATCCTTATCATTAATACCCAAAGCATGTCTGTCTTCTGCCTCGAGAGCAAGGGGTAAGGAGGGAATCAACAACAAAATCTACTGCATGGAAAGAAGCTCTGTGATTTCTAGTGCATGTGGCAAGAGTCTGAACTTCAACAGGTTTTAACTTGGCCTCTTCTAATAAATGTACGAGTTCTGAGTGCACATCGTATATACATGCATTTTGCACACTGCTGCTTCCAGAGTAGCAGCAAATAATATATATTTAAAATATATTCTGCAAAACCAATTCACAGAACCTGTTTATGGCTGAGTATGTACCCACTGTTCTGTCTGCATACAATTCAAGGAAATCTCAAAATGAAACACAAAGAAAACTAAGGAAAATACTCACAGAGATTTTATTTATTTACATGCAAATATATACACAAGAATGTACCTTATGTGGCACTGATCCTGACTCCTCAATGGACATGTGAAGTGGTTCTGCTGCAGCTAAAACATACAGAAGTATCTCAGTATGTAAGTACCAGTGATATTTTTTTAATCACCAGATCAGTTATAAAGAGGAATGTATCAACTTCAGCAAAATTCTCACCCATCAAAACCTCTTAGTTTCTATGTATGCTACTGAAGTTTAAAAATCCCTATATTATTCACCTCTAAAATGTTATCTGGATTTCATTCTACATTGCTTGGGACTAGAAGAAACAATGAATCTCTTCTACACTGAAAGAATTAGCCAACTAATTTTAAAAATGACTATATCTGAGAGGTATTTGGGATTTCCAGAGAAAACACAATACACATGGAAATATTCAATGCACAACTTCCTGGCTGGCCTGGTGGGCAGTTCACTGCTGAACTGACACAAAAACTTCCTTCTCCAGAGCTAATGGGCAGAACTGCACTACACAGGACTCCAGAGCTGGCTAGCCAGTTTTATCCATGGTTTTACTAATAAAGCATTTATTCTGTTAAGAAGTTTTGACAGTGGAAGCTTACAATTTTTAAGAATGTTTTAAGATGCGGCAGCACAAGCAAAGCAAATACAAGACAAAACAGTAAGGCCAGGCTCAATTCTGAGAGGTAGCAAACACTCTCTGCTCCTGATGATATTAACAGGATTAGCCATGAACACAACTATCAAACAGCAGTCCTTTTGATGTAGTGAAATTCATCATTTGGCTCTTTTAGATTATCAAACTTAGATAAAATGCTCTTACCCAGAGTAAGACTTGATCCATTTTGTAATTTTTCTGTGTTCTTATTCTGAATCTGAAATTAAGAAAAAGTCATAATTTTCCTATTCTCCTTCAAGAATTAATAAACATGTTCCAAAATAAAACAGAGTAGTGTTTCTTCCTCAGTAAAAGGATATTTTAGATTCATTTCTATCAGCTAAATAAAATTCAACATAACAGTTGAAAAAAACCTATACTAATACAATATCAGAGCTACCTCAAATATAAAGAATACTGCATGCAATAGGATTTGATGACTTTTCAGATACTGTGATATCTTCTTAAACTGAGTTTAAAACAAACCACAAAAAAAGAAAACCCTGAAAAACTCTTCTTAAAAAAGCTATCATTTTCAGCTTCAAAAATTAAAAGCTACTTTCCCTGAAGGGTCCAGAGGTACAAAGATATGTTTTGCAAAGAACAGTCAAAGCAAAACTTTTCACTCCACAGTGTAATGCAAAAAAACCTTTCAAGATACAGATTTTGTATTTTCAACTAAAAGGAAAAAATTCACCTAAGTCTTTTAAAGGGTATCTTTCTCAGGCAGATTTAAATCAGACCCTAAACTCAGCAAATAACAGGAATAACAGAAGTAAACCAAGCAATATTTTAGTCACTAGTCATCTCTAATTCCTCAGGCTCTGAAAGATGGATCTCCTTTTAAAGTCTGGCAATATTTAGAAATAAAGGATTTATTTCAGTTCTTGTATACTTACCCCTGAATGATAAGGAGGATCAATCAGATTGAAATTAGGGAGAGAGGCCTGATGAGCATTTATATAAACTGGCTGAGAATGAACAGAGGACACTGAAGCTGCAAATTTAACAGAAACACAAATACACCATATTTCATCATTTTCAGTTTTGAAAACCTAAATCTATGAAGAATGCAAATGCCCTTATTTGTAAGTCATAGTTTTATCTTCAGCACATCTGACTGTTGCTATCAAGAGTAACCAGTGAAAAAAGAGGATCTTACCTTCATGTTTGTACTTCTGAATCTTCCTAATCAAATCTATCCTGTGAATACTTTGAAAACAGTTCTCTATCAAATCCAGTTGATTAGGAGCCACCAAATTTAGCTTCTCCAGCTCAATTATAAGAGCTAGAAAACTCTAGAATAGCAACATAAACCCAAACACATCAGTATTTTTTTCTCCACCAGATGTAACAAAGCAACACAGAAAATACTGTGGAGAGGTCATAAAGGCTGTATAAACAATTAGAGACATTACACCTTCCAAGAAAATTATCTGAGAGACATACGAATACTTGATATTATCACAGGAGTACTAGAAACTACAAAGTGATATTCTTAAAAATCAATCTTAAATTTTTGAGAAAACAGTTTTGCATTTTGTTTTTGCTACAAACCCAGCGACTGCCAATGTCACCTCACATGCCACAAAGCAGGAGGCAAGAAAAGCTTTGGGAAATTCTCAGGTCCTCTCTACTTCTCTGACTGAAGATAGAAAGGGAAAAAAACCTCAAAGGAAGAAGACAGAAATCTTCAGTCTTCTCTGCACAGTGGCCAAGGTTTCTGAGTACTCTCAACTGAATTTCTGCTTTCTCAGAGGACTTAACAAAAATATTCAGAACGCAAAGGTATAAAGATATAATTACAATATATGTGTTCTTTTATAAGTGAAGCAGAGCACAAACAAAATGACTTTGTAATTCAAGATACAGTTCAAGTGGTTATTGGTTGGAAATCATTCTTATATGAACTTTCAGATCAGAAATACTGAAGAAAGACTTCTGTAAAATGCCTGCCCATGAAGTACATTCAACCACCATACATTATAACAAGCACTGTTCCCTCTTACTTTTTACTAGTTTTCCACAATTCTTTCCTTGAATTAAAAATCAACAAAATGAAACAGAAGCCACAACTCCTTGTCTGCTTCCTGATGTTTGTGTACTCTTGTCTCAATACTCCGTGCAGTACTGACTCCTTTCCTTTGCTGTCTAGCTACACTTTTTTAACTTTAATGTCTCTTTACTCCAGAGGAGAATGCCAGAATTAAGGAAAACATACCTTATCTTTTGCCATTTTCATACGAGGTGCATAATCTCTGAGTAGAAAACCAAGAGAACCCACTTCATCTTTTTCCAGATTTTCATTTATCTCTACCATTAGTACCCTGAAATAAAGTTGAGATATTTCTAAAGGATTAGCTTGCAGCAAGATTCCTCCCTTTCCCAAGTACTCAACTTCTCCCCATGTTCCAGTCTTAATCTAGGATTTCTAACTAAGAAACAGGTGAAAAACATGCCCTGTTTCAAGATCCAATTATAAAATACTCTTGCAAATCAACACCTGTATTTTTCAGACTGACACTGTAATAGCCACTGTTAGGAAAACAGAAGTTTCCTTAATGTTTAATAGAGATTTAGTGAGAGAATGAGACAACAGAACATATCCTTAACTTTTTAACCTGTTAGATACAGGGTTTTTATTTTAGTGAGAATTTAATACAGGAAAATCTTCCTTAGAAGTACATGGATTTGTTTATGAAGTCTCTCAAAGAAAATAACTGGAATTTCTTAATTTAAGCCTCTCTAAACTAACAAGTTTAGAGTAAAACAAGCAAGAGAGAGGTCCCTTGAGAAAAGTTATACCACGTGGCTATGTCCCCAAAGCAAACCAGAAAAGAAAATATGTCTAACCAATTATATTCCTTTAAAGTGTCATTTTTAGCTGCTAATCTAGAACTCTACAAACATCACTGGTTTTATTTACAAACAGACAAATTCCTTAAATACAGATGCTTCTAATGCCACGACTAGTAAGAAAATACTTAATTCAGGGACTAAACATTTATTTTTATTATAACTATAGATATAATGTCCTTTTCTGCTTTTCTTCTACTTTCAATAAATATTCTCTGAATCTGTGAAGTATTAAATAAATAAACAAATATTTTAAAATGAAAAAAAAACCAACTCACCCATACTGCCCCCCACCCCACACACAGGCAAAAACCAAACCCCTTATATTGAACAAGACAGCATAGCTTTAAATCTGAAACAGATGTATTACCTGTACTCAGGGATAAGTCTGAGACTCCTGGCAAGGTGAGCTTCCACTGTTGCTTTCTCTGTCTTCAGGATCCTCCTCAGCAAGTCAAACCTCTTAACTCTGTACAATAGCTCAGACAAGCCAACAGGAGTCAGTTTCTCTCTCTCATTCAAAGCCACCAAGATCTCTTTAAGATCAGCAGAGGCCAAGTCAGGAGCAAGGTCTCGGCACAGGAAAACCATCATCTCTTCTTCTTCTTTATCCAATTCTTCTTGAATCTGATGAATAAGGAAAGCTGGCACTTGGCACCGGGTCATCACTTTGTTGCTGTTTCTTTAAAATTGCCTACTGGTTTTTAAACTGGAAACCAACATGGCATGAAGCCTGTGTCTACCACAGCACTTCTCTTGTGTTCATTCTTAACTAGGTGCATTTCTACAAAGGCAGTTCTGTGGAAGAGAATTAAAAGGCAATAAAACAGTGATCTGCTGCACAAGTTCACAGCTAACTCTCCTATCTGAAGTATTTCACTTTCAACTAACACTACACAGACCTCCTTTATTCAAGGGACTCTCCCAGTTGTTCATTACAAAACTAAAAGTATTTGGACGGTCATACTAATCAGAAAGACATGTAAGTTCTTTTTAGAGTAAATTACCTTGACATGAGTCTGTATATTCCATAGGAAGTGAAACAAAAGTCATCAGCTTGCTGATGAGTGGTAGATTAAGTATTTCTGACAGCTCTGCCCTTTTCCGAGCAACAATGTAACATGAAATTTTAAAACCACTAATTATCTGTAAATTCAAGAGTGTGTGGTTTTTCTTATTGTTAACATCATTTAAATTGATTCCAATCTGGGGTTAAAAGGATTTTCCACACACACCCTCCATGCTCAAAAAGATTGAAAAGCCACTCAAAGAAAATACTCCACCCTTAAATATGCAAACTGGTTAATTCTGAAGGTATAGATAATTGTTTAGTTTAGTGTTCCTTCACTAAACATTCATGTACCATCATACGGAAAACTGGAATAAAAATTCAAACCTAGAAAAACCCCCAGCCTTGTGATTAACAAAATCAGTAAGGTGCTGTGCTCAATTTCCACTGCCACCAACTACGGAAATTCCATCTAACCTCCTCTGACCTCCATTACATACAGGGAGAAATGGCAGATGAGCAAACCTAAAGACAAATCTTAGTCCTTCTACAGAGTTTGATCACTATACTGCAGAGTTTTATTTAAACCATACTGGAAAGCAAATGTTATCCTTTTGTTACACATTCTAGAAGTTACAATCAAAAATGTCACATACTGTGTCCATAATTAAGCAAGTGAGATAAATTTGTGTAAAACAGAGGAACCCCTCATGCACTGTAATGTGTTTTGGAAAGTTTTCTATCAGAAGAAAAGCATATTTATTGCTAGCTTATTTTCAATCTAGCACCAAACACTTTTGAGAATTCTATAGAATGACACTGTTCTCATGACATAATGCAGTCAAGGAGGGGGAGGCACAAGCACCCTCATATGAAACTATCTCCCAAGTACATTCAGCTGGGACTTTCAAAAGAACTTGAAGTAATAGTTTAACTCTGAAGTGAAACAAGAATTTAACAACTTTTGGTCATTTTTGGAAATACCAGAAAAACTTTTTAACTACTCCAGTTAATTTTTATCTAGTCTTTTAAAACTAGTTAAAAAAACAGAGGAAGGGTGTGTGTTAGGGAGGAATTTCCCACCGAGCTGGAATTTCAGACATGCAGAATTACTATTTATACATTAACTTAAAAATAATTTGCCTTTAAAACACACATATGAATCCTCTTCTATTGTGAATTTCCTTTATATACAATACATTACATGCTCATTATAAAAAAATGCTGATTCTACTCAGTCTTGAAATTATCTTACCTGTACGTAAAACTGTTCACAACAACACGGGAAAACTGGCATTTGGCCATTGCCAGATCACTGATCCAGCACACATTGGTTTCCATCCAGGATTTTCCAGTGATTACATTAACTCATTCTCTGCTGGACAAATGTCAAGATCACAAATTACTGGGGGGGGCTACTTCCTAATTTTATGGGGGTGGGAAAACCAAGTAAAACAACCAAGGGTCGTTCTTCAGTATGACTGCAGTGAACCAGGAACGGTGCTCTAAATAAAAGGAAAACCAGCCGTGCACATAGCATACATTGGGTGAGGGGAATGAGTAAGAGCAACGGGAAGTGATTTTTTTAGTATAAACTAAAAGAGTTTGTAACTTTGCAGATCACTTCACCAGAAGAGATAAAGAGCATAATGCTCCACTCTTCCATCTGATCACCCCTTTTTCAAACATCACAGATAGTTATTATAGACGCAAAAGTTAAGGAAAAAAAGCAATCACAACAGAAACCCAGCAGCCTAGCTTTTGATTATCTGGACTCTGCAAAAAGAAGACTTAGTGAATGTAAATTCTCTACAAAGAGGAGAGAAAAATCAGTTTATCTTCTAAGACAAAATAAAAAAGTTCGTAGTCATCAGAGAAAACGCTGCCTCAATAATTTTTGTTTTCATGTGCATGTCTAATTAGGCTTTTTTTTTCAATATGTTTGCAAAGGAGCAGGAAATAACATACTAAAATTTCACACTAAGACACACAAGGCTCCAGTTAACTCCTTGCTGGCATTTTGTATCTTGAACCTTTCACAGTCATCTTTGCAGCAACAAAACCAGGATATGACACCAGTGGGTGTCGTTCTGATTTATGAAATTATCTTTCTTTCACAAGACGAACTCACGTGGAAGACCCGTGCTGGCAAGGGAGAGCAGAAGATGACTTGGCCGTTCCTTGTGCTTCCTCGGCTCTTCACTGTTTGAAGAGGTGGCGGTGGTGGAAGGACTGCCCTTGGCGCCAGGGCCACCTGGCATTTTTCAAAGCTGCAGAGAATGCTCCACAGCTTTTACATTTCCCTACTTCCTCACTGTCCCACGCCCTTCAACAGGACTTGTGCAACGTACTCAGGAAAACCAGGGAATTTCTGTGGGAATCACCGCGTTCCTTCCTACGCTTGAACAGTTTTCCCCCGAGGTAAACTAGTATGAGCAGGCTAATTTGTTTTAATACCCCAGACCTCCTAATTAAAAGAAAACAAAACAAACCACCAAAAAAAAAAAAAAAAAAAACCCCCAAAAAAAAAAAAAAAAAAAACCAAAAAAAACCCAAAACCAAACAAAAAGTGCCCAACTACTAGAAGTGGTTTATGCAGATTTCCAGTCATTTTTCTAAGTGCGTCATTTAAAATCACACTCGGTTTCGGTTCTCACCACGAGCCCAGGCCGAGCCCGGGCCCCGCTCGGGGCGGACGCGCCGGCTTTGGGCCGCCCGTGCTGAAAGCGCACGGTGGGAAGGGAAGCGTGAGGGAAAGGAGCGCAGAAAGGAGCGGGGGAAGGTAGAACGCACCCAGACGCGTCGGGGAGGTCTCTACAGCAAACAGGTCCGGCATTTGGAGCAGGGAGGAGCTGGGGCGGTACCGGCCCGCTGGCAGCCCAGCGCCGGGCCGGGGCGGGGGGGAGCGGGGAGGCAGGATGATGGTTTTAGTTTTGTTTCCGGCTGTACCCCTGTAATCAGGGCTGAACACACAAACCGCCCCACAGCGGATGGAGGCGGGACGGCGCCTGCGGTGCCTCCTCCTGGCATGGAGGCTACGCGGGGCAGCGCTGCGAGGGGAGGCCGTGGCGGTGCCGAGTTCAGCATGTGCACAGGCTGTGCTTCTGTCCTGCTGCTGCCGTGGGGACAGACAGAACGGCTCTGTGTCGGCCCTGCGAGCTACGAAGTAGTAGCAGGGCTTTCGGTGAGCGGTTCCGGACCTGAGGTCAGTGTGGGCACGTGTTTTGGCAGTAAGTTTAGCCGGAACCCCTTGTAGGGCTCATGTCTCACTCTGAATTTGTTCGTTCACAGTGAGGATAATGTACACCCGTGTGAAAGTTCTGTGCTTCCTGGTGTATAATCTTAAGTAAATATTGTGTAATACCTTGTTCCTGAAAACTGGGTGTTGCTATTCCCTTGACATAAACTAGCAACTGTCATGAAGCTATTTACTGCGGGATGCTAGCATTGCAGCTGGAGCTGCTCTCCAAAAGGCCAAAAATCTAAAATTTTTCTGAACTAGACAAAAGCCACCTCCATATATGGTGAAATCAGACACATGAAATCCAGCTCAATGGATTTCAAAGCCTTTAGGAAACAGTGAGTCATTTTTTTGGTGCTGCTAAAAATAGAGCAGAGGAAGCGCAGTACTGTGGGATAGCACACACGAAGAGTCACGCTGTCTTTGGAACTGCAGGGAAAAAGGAGACAGAAAATATTCGCCCACACTAGAATTTGTACCAAGTGGCAACTCTTGTGTTCTGAAAAAATACTTGTATTCCTACTGAAATTGTATGGACAGGCTCCCACTGTAATATCAATCATTCACAGCTATCACAGTATCCCCGCTATTAAGATTCAGAAGGAAACCAGCTACCTACTGTGAATCAATATGCAGTTTCTCCTTGGATCTGTTCCACACAGAAAGTGGAGCATCATCAGTTTTATTTTTCAGACATTATGATACAAAAAGAGCTTCCTGTCTGGTATTACAATCATGTATGTTCCTCACCTGCTGGTGCCACTGCTGTTTGTGACCCTGGTTTTTGCACTGTAAAATAGCTGTGCTGGTAAGGAAGGCTGTTCTCATATAAGGACAGACATTGCTATGGTTACAGTGAAGACACATTTGGTACTATTATTTTAATACACAAGAAATATTCCCTCCCCAGGCAGGACTGGTATTATTATACCTGTGAAAGAAAAATCTTCGTAAGTATTGTATGTGTAATAATGATGAGACATATTCTGCAAAATTAGCAAAATATGTTCATCATAAATTAAAGACATTTAGGGCAGTGGCTGCCATCTGTCTATTAAACCAACAAATGATACCATCTTAATTCACAAATGCATAGACTTTACCAAAACTGTCTTGTCTTACTGAATATGCTTGATATATTTGCTATATCAGCGAAGTGGCAGGCTTATACCTTTTAAAAAGACTCATTCTACTTCATGCAATTATTAGCATTAGTAACATAGTAAAAATTATTGTAATTAACTGTATTACTTGTTTTCCTGAACAGCCATCTGAAATTCAGTACTCCCTAGAAAGTTGTCTGGGAACCAGACAGAAAACAAGCAGTGAGTACCAACCATTGAAAAATGCATATTCTGGGTAAGAGTACCTAAGGGAAAATAGAAATGTTTTGTGCCACAGACCTTACACAGTAGGTTCTTGGTTTTTCAGGGAATGATGCAACTGGATAGGAATGTTTGAGAAAAGGATTAGGCAAGAGTTTACTAAAATGAGTGTTTGCGCTACGAACAGTGCCTTGAGCAATGTCATACAAAGATGACAAACTCCACTGAACAGTACATCTGCACTCACACAGTAACAGATGTTGTTTATTGGCTCGAAAAATAAAGCTCTATTATAATCTCACTCAGAAGGATTGCGTGTGAATATGTAAGTTTAAAGAAAAGATATTTTAGCCATGTTTTGGTAGGACCTTGAATTTTTTTGTAAACTTGCAATTTGTGACAGGATTGTTTAAAAACTTCAATTTCTTCACATGGAAGTATACAATATAATTGTTTAGTGGCATTTACCATTTCTCACTTGTCTAATTTTGCTTTTCATTTTAGTGATGTGTGTCCTGTTGTTTGTGCAACGTAACATAGCCTCCTTACTTTGTTACTAGTGGCATAACATAACAAAATTTACAGTAGCATATTCAGATAATTATAATTCCTGGTACTGCAGAGGACATATACTGCCCACAGGTCCTTTTCTGCTTTAGTCTTCAGTCCAGGCATTCTTAAAGCAGTCCAGAAGCTGTTAAGATAATTTAAGGAAAACCAGGACATTTAAAACCAATTGCTAAAAGAGACTAGATGTAAAAATAAATTAATCTATAAATACACCAGAGCAAAGGAAAAAATTGTTCTCATTTTTAACATTACAGTCAAGCATGGTGGAAGACATTTTAGGGTAAGGTACAGTTACTGCTGAGTTAAACATTTTATTCTACTTTTGGCAGCAATGTAATTTTTGATGTCTGGATATTGCACAGCAGATTTTTCTGGTGCATAGTCTCTGCCAGGCTAATTAACTGTTCAATGGGGTTAAGTATAAACTTTGGTACTTTCATATACTTTGAGGCCGTCTGGAGTTGGTTTTAAAGCTTTAAGTTAATATTTATTTTTATTTAGAGACATAAGAGCAAATAGTAACAAACACTTCTAAGAAATGACAAGTCATTCATTACTACTTACAAGGAAATAATAGTTATTAAACTTGTAATAAATATGGTACAAATTTTCTCTTAAAAGCAATAAACTTCTCAATTTCATTTAACAGAATCTAGGCAGGGCTTGGAAAGAGCTGGTCTGATAGTTTATCTTGCTCTTTAAAAGACAGTACAGCAAAGCCAAGAGCCATCTTGGGTTGTTTTTTTCCCCCCAGATTGAAGCCAGTTAAATTGCTCTGGCCATGTTTTTTGATCCTTCCACAAAAGTATAATAAGATCAAAGAAACACGGGTTTGCCTGTGATAGACTTTAATATGGATATTATAAGTACAGAGTGAGCAGCAGGCTTATGTATGCTTCAGCTTATGATTAGTAAGTATTAAGTTGTCATATTTGATCTTCAGTGGTGGCCTCCATTTTTCTTTGGAGGAAACAGTGAATATTCAATGCCCAGAGCTATGATGAAAGCTGCAGCTCCCCACTTGAGTCCCCTGGTAAAGATTTCTGTTACGGTGATAGGTCTTGCAAAGCCACCCTGGTACCTCCAGACTTCATTACTAGAAAGGAAAATGAAACCAAAGGGAAAAAAGATCAGTGGAGCCACTGTGATACAAATTAACAAGAATATATATATATAAAAGAATGATGAAGGTACTTCAATTCAATAGACATTGAGGCTGTACAAAATGTTCTGTCATTTAAGTATCAGGAATTACAAGTAAAGTTCATGATAGGAACTCTAACCCTTACCATATAACTTGAGATACAAGTACTGCCAGTAAACAACACAATTATAGGAACAGAATCACCTCCCCAAAATCGTGCAGTTGTACCCTTCTGTTTCTACTCTGTAACAAATCCAAGCCCACTAGCACTTGCATGGACTGGACTAACTACAAAGGCTACTCACTGTGCTAGACAGGATGCAGCACAGTCAAATCTTACAATCCAGACATAGACAGCACATCTCAGTGTGGAGGCACTTTCTGTTTCACAATACAACGCAGCTATAGGACAGTCAGATGATTTTAAAAAGAAAGACTGAAAGATGGTGTTTAGCTTGAGCTACAGAGTATGTGCAAACTTCACACTGCTTTGCCTTGCTGTTTTTGACCTCCATTGTTATAGAAATGTTAGTCACTGCTCTAACTGACTACAAATATTTATTTATTTATAGCACAACCAGTGTAACCTATGGACATGGGTGTAGTTTGTCTCTTGTAAGGAAAAGGAAAAATAACTAAGCAATAAAATAAAAACTGTAATTTTGGGAGAAAATACTGGGGTTTGAAGCAAGGGGGGGCATATATTTATGTTCACAGATAATCCTCTTGTGCACATGGATTTTGTGACTTGAGATGAAAGCATGTTGGCATGGAAGAGTATCTCCCAGGTGCCAGTGCAGGGTCTAATTGATACAGACTTAAAGTTTCCAAATATGACATCTTTCACAAAGCTTATCTGTATTTATTATGTACATTAATGTGCATTTGCCATGAAGGTTGAAAGCAGATTCCCCGTTACAATGAACTCAGCATACCACAGGGGAGGGAGCTCTGGAGAGGGTGACTTTGAAGACTTGTGGTGCAAGACATTAGTCTGGCAGAAGCTTGTATTATTACTGAAGCAAGTAGTTTTAATTTCTCATTTGTTAAGGAAAATTGGCATGATGCTTGTACTGCCCTATAGAATTGACATACTACTTTACATGAAATTAAAAAAAATCAGAAGGAATCATCTCAAGCTTTGGGTTTGACTTTGTTCCTTCTTTGAACCCTACTATGACTGGCTCAATCCCCTTCTTTTACCAGAGGAACAAAAATTTTCTTTTATCTTGGAGGGGCAACAAATACTACAGTCCCTTTTCCAGTGTGTTGTTTTGCAGCACTTCCTGAAATTGGAAGAGTAGGCATTAAAGGTCAGGGTAATTTACACTAAATCTACAATATTAAACTGTATTTTTTTAAATTGGAATAAGCCTTTTTCTTGCTGAACACAATTTTTTTTAACCAAAGGGAAAACAAGCTTATGCTGCTTTCACTTCACAGAAATAGAGGCAAGATAAAAGTGAACAAGTCAAGTTCTTTAAGGGCTGATATTTCAAATTATTCCTATCATCACTAAAATTATGTTTTACTTTGCTCACACCTTTAAACTATTCCAAAGAAAAAGACAAAGTGCTGTCAACCCCAAATGCCTCCACAGGTTATAGCATGAAACAGCTTTGTAACAGATTATCTATTTGCTCTCCCA